GGGGCTGGGGGTGTAGGTCCCAGCCAAGGCACGCGGTGCTGACTCATGGCGTGGTCAGGAGGTGGTGGGTGGCTTGGCCCCCCTCGGCAGAGAGCTGGGCTCTGGCTCCCTGCTCCGGGTGGGCGGAGAGGGTGTGGGCAGCTCTGTGCCGCCTCGGCCGTGCCCATTGCCGCTCCTGGCACAGGTTGCCCAGAGAAGCTGTCCCCTCGGCAGAGAGCTGGGCTCTGGCTCCCTGCTCCGGGTGGGCGGAGAGGGTGTGGGCAGCTCTGTGCCGCCTCGGCCGTGCCCATTGCCGCTCCTGGCACAGGTTGCCCAGAGAAGCTGTGGCTGCCCCCTCCCTGGCAGTGTTCAAGGCCAGGTTGGATGGAGCTCTGAGCAGCCTGGTCTGGTAGAAGATGTCCCTGCTCATGGCAGGGGGGTTGGAACCAGATGATCTTCAAGGTCCCTTCCAACCCAAACCATTCTATGATTCTTTTCTATGATTGCTGACCCATGCTGTGCTCCATCCCTGTGTCACCTCTCCTTGGCCACCACAGCTGTGCCCTCATGTGTGCTTTTGCTTTCCCGGGGCTTCAGCTCCCGGGACTGCCCTCATGCCTGGTCCCCGGGTCTCGTCCCCTGTTGCCTGTCACCCTCGCGCAGGGCGGTGTGCCACGGCCAGGCAATGGCTGAAGGCAGACACAAAGCATCCTCCTTCCCATGGGGTCCTGGGGGATGAGGACTTCACACCGAGGAGATGGGGCAGCAGCAAGACCTTGCAGGGTGCTCGACCACAGGAGGGTGGTGGCCCTGATGGGCTGGGTTTGGGTCCCCGGTGCCAGCCCGGGCCACCTCGCGTGGCTCAGCAGGCTCTGTCAAGCATGAGGCCATCAGCAGGTGGGTGTCCTGCACACGGGTGCTTGTGCGGGAGGGGCTTTGCTGTTTAGGGGAGGTTGCTCTGGAGTCAGGCTGAGGTAAGCCGAAAAGATCCTCTTCTTCTGGACAACAGTGGCGTGAGTGCGGCAGGGGCCGTCATCCGCAGGGACATGGTCCGAGGCGATGGGAAGGAGCTGGCTGGAGGGCAGGCAAGGCGTGGGGGAGTCTGGGGGTTCTGTGGGGACGTGTCCCCTCCGCTTGTCCCAGGCAGCCCTGCCACCTGCTGTCCCTGCATCAGCTCGTGCACAGGCTGACGAAACCGGGGGTGGCAGTGGGCTGTCTCCTCTTGTGTCTTCTCCTTTGGCTGGGAGATGCAGCACGGTCCTCGTAATTTCCTCCGTGACCTCCGGT